TCCCGCCTGTGCCACCTGAAGTTAAAGATGATAATAAAGATGATAATAGTAAAAGTATTGTCAGACCTGCACAGGCAGGCAGCCACTTGACATGAAAAAAAACACCTGCAGTTGTAACATTCTGTACCACTAGGTGGCTGATTTGCCACAGAAGGTATGGCTCTCCCTGCCTGTAGTTGGCAGCTGTGAACACGACAACATCTGCTGGTGTAACTGTCAGTGGCAGTTTGAATCAAGAGGTGGCACAGGTCAGACCAGAACTACAAGCCCAGAAATGCATGGCTAAATGATGGTGGCTGGAGTTTCCTAAAAGAGCCTCAAACCAGTGACGGTGTGTCTCTCATTGTTTTGGTGTTGTACACCACAGGTGTCCAGTCAGACAGTGACTCATCAGCGGTTAGCAACAAGATGAGCGGTCAGAGCAACGTGAAGCCCAATCGACCCTCGCTGGCCAAGATTCTTCTCAGTCTGGATGGAAACCTGGCCAAACAGCAGGGTCTGTCTCATGTGCTGTCCGCTCTGCAAATCATGTATGCAAGGTATGTTGTAACCACAGTTAAGAATGACCTCTCCTGATGGTCCAGAAGAGAAACATGGTTCAAGTACAGTTCTTTTAAATTGTTAGTAGTCTGAGAAACCTTGGCTGAGAATGCTGGATAAAGAAGTTAATAAAGATCTCATATATATCTGAGCTCTGAGAACATTTGCTGTGAAATGTGTGAAGCTGATTTCACATTGAACAACAGCAATCACTGAGGTATGAACCCGAAGAGAAACATGTTGACGCTGTTCTTCTCCTGAAACTTTGGCTTCATGCTGCAGTGATGTGTCATGTGAAATCAGCTTTACATCAGATTTATGATCAATCTGTCAAAACAATATCTTTGATTCTGTTTTAACTACTCAAACCTTCAGCACCCGTGAATAGTAAGATTCCTCCGAATGAATTCTACTGTGGAAACTTAGTAATCACGTTTGTCCTGGGTCAGATTCAACACTATGAGCGGTTGATTATATAAAATGATTGTGTAGCTTATTTATGATCCCAGAACCTGAAGGAAAAGTAACACACACACACACACACACACACACTCTAAAACAACAGACCTTGTAAACTTAGTAAATGTAATCTTTAATTCCAAGATATCTTTAATTTGCTACGTTAGTTGCAGCCCTAGCAGCATAAACACATTTAGGAAGTTTAAACAAGGTGAGATAAAAATCTGCATGGCCTTTGAATGAACTAATGTGCGCTGAGTGGTACATTTAATTGTAATTGGTCAGTATTACAGATGACTGAATGTGTTGCTTGTTTCTGCAGGGATGCAGTGGTTGGTGCTCTGATGCCAGCCTGCATGATTCTGCCATCAGAGTGTCCCTCCAGCTCACCTGTTCCCCCATCAGACTCCTCGTCCTCATCAACTGTGAGTGATGATGAAGGTCCACCAATCCCGCCTGACACTGAGGATCGGATCAGTCCCAATCCCTGGCAGGACAAGAAGGGCGAGGTAAGGGAGATAACAATGTGGCTTTCAATATGGAACACCAAACTTTGTCTCTGTAAAACTAAACTTTACAAATGTCAGTAAGGTGGTCAGTAAGCCATTTTTTTATTTATTTAATTAATTAATTTTTGTCATGAAATTGCTGCCTCAACTTTGTTTTGTGCTGAACTCCTGGAAAACATTACACCGTGCTATGTGCATTTTTATCCATAATGACCAGGTGTGTAAATGCAACCATCAGCAATTTGTATCTGGGTCCAACTTGGAAATAACATAAACTCTCACGGGGCTTTGTTCATAATTACAGTTCTGTTTTTCCACCACAACTTTCTCTGTTTTTATTCTTGGTGTTAAAAGTTGTATCCTTGGTTCTGTCCTTGGTGTCCAGGAGGTAACAGCAAATGTGGTTTAATACTAAAGAAAACACTTCCATGTCAGTTAGGGTTAGAAGAGCAGCCGATGTGTTAGTTTACAGTGCAATCCAGACTAACTCATGGTCAACCACCTTAAGATTTCATTCTGTTCAAAGTAGAAATTGTTTTCCACACAGAAATTAATTG